GGGGGGGGGGGGGGTCTCTCGGGACAGCGGGGCAGAGGCCTGGGAGTGGGAGGGGCACGGCTCCTTGGGGAACAGAATGGAGGTCGCTGGCTGCAGTGTGGAGCAGAGGGAAGTGGGGGTCGCTGGCTGCAGTGTGGAACAGAGAGGAGTGGGGGTCGCTGGCTGCAGTGTGCAGCAGAGGGGAGTGGGGGTCGCTGGCTGCAGTGTGGAGCAGAGACAAGCGGGGGTGCGGCAGTTAGAGGATGGGCGGGGGGCCGGGCGGGCTCTGAGGCCATGAGGAGGCTTTGCACTTGAACCCGAGCCCAGCGCCACGATCAGGCTGCATGTAATAGCCTCCCTGTCTGCCACAAGGAAGGCTGCCCGGAGAGGCCACCGTGCCTTCGGAGACCGGAGACCGGGCGGAGGCTGCTGCAGGTGCAGGTGACGGAGGGCGCCTGGCCCGGGTGTGGGGGGATGGAGAGGAGGGTAGGGGTGCCAGAGCAGGCGGACTCCCTGATGGCCAGGGCATGACGTCTCCTTCTGGAACCACTCACTGGAAGAGAAGCTCGACGGTGGGAGGGAAAGGCACTGGGTTCCGTGTGGCTGCTGAGCTCGAGGTGCCTTGGAGACACCCCTGGGAGCTGTGTCGGACGCCTGGTTCCAAGACAGCGCCCCTCCATAGGAGGGAGCAGAATCTACAGGCCTCGTGGGCAGCTATGGGCAGTGCCAGGCGGCCCCTGGGGTCCTGGGCACAGGCTGTACGTAAAGGACTGCGGCTCTAACCAGTCCGACCCTGTGAGAGCCTCGTCAGCGGCCACTTCTTGGGGAAAGAATGAGTCAGGCCAGGGCCAGGGCGGTTGGTTTTTACTAAGACCCTGCCTTTGTGCCCAGCCGCTAGTGTGGAACGGTGGGCTCGCTCACAACACACACCGGGGTCACAAGGGAGTTCTTAGGAACGAGAGCGAGGCCTGCACAGCTCAGCCTTCAATGGCTGGGCCTCCAGCCCATCAAGCTAGGAACGGCCCAATCGGGTCTGTGGGCATTCACGTGGCCCCGCCTGCCCCTGCGGAATGTCCTGATCCCCATGCTACAGGCAGGAAACCGAGGCTCAGAGAGGGTGAGTCCCATCCCCAAGGCCACACAGCAGGACATGGCTAAGCTGCAACCCCAACCCGGCCCGGTCTGCCTTCTGCCCGAGCTCCAGGGCTCCCCTGGCCTCCTCCTCCTTGTCCTCAGCATCCAGGGTCAAGGGGGAACACGAGGGGGGCCCTGGGCCTCTGAGGCCACGGCGTGCGGGGTGGGGGGACAAGGGCCTGTGCTTGGCAGGCTCGTGGCGTTGGCCCACATCGAAGAACAGGAAGGACCAATGAGCCAGGGGGAGGAGTGGACAGGGTGGCAGGGGGTGGGGCTGGAGGATGGACATCTCAGGGCCGAATGCTTCAGCGCCCGCTTCCCACCCCAGCCTCACATCGCAACTCAGGAGGGTGGTTGAACAATGGGCTTTGGGGTGATTAACAGAACGGTCACCGGGTCACCGAGGGAGAGCCCCAGCCGCCCTTCCCAGCCCAGTGAGACTCTTCCTTGAAGCCGCTCACCTCTCCCACCTGGGAGGCGGGCCCCGAGCAGCACTGAGGGATTGTGGGATGATGTCACCCCTTGGCAATCCTCGGGAGGTGACCTCAGCTCCCAGAGCGAGGTGAGCCTCAGGTGTGGCGCCCAGGTGAGCACGCCCTGGAGGCCCCCTGCGGGAGGCCCCTCCCGGCCCAGGGGCCCCGGCTCCCCAGACAGAGGGGCTGGGGAGGGTGGGAAACTCACTACCTGCGAGCTCAGGCTGTTACGTGAGGCCAGAGCTGGCCGCTCCCAGGCGCCGCCCTGAAGAGCCCGGGGCTGTGGGACGAACGGTGCAGCCACCTGTGCCACCGCCCGATGAGGTCGATACGGCCACCTTCCTTCCGAGCGAGTCCCAGGCAACGTTCCAAGCTGCTGGCTTCCTGCCGCTCGGCCGGCGCCACAAGCCCACCCACTGTGTCATCCCAGGGGCCTGCCAGGCTGGCTCACCTCGTTGCCCAGGGCCGAACTGGTTTTCACAGGCGATTTTAAAAGCCCATTGGGAGCAAAAATAAACTTTTTATGGATTCACCAACGTTTGGGGACCCTGGGGCAGCGACAGACAGACGTGGGCTCGCCCCCTGGCTCTGCCACGGAGAAGTCGCTTCCCCTGAGCCTGTAAAACGGTAGAACTTTCTATGAAGTGTAAAGACGGGCAGAATTAGCCCGGCCGGCGTGGGAGAGCACTGACCTGTGAACCAAGAGGTCAGTTTGATTCCGGGTCCGGCACAGGCCCTGGTTGCGGCTCAGGCCCAGGGTGGGGCGTGCAGGAGGCAGCCGGTGAATGATTCTCTCCCATCATTGGTGTTTCTAACTCTCTCCCTCTCCCTTCCTCTCTGAAATCAATAAAAAATATATTAAAAGACATAAAGACAGGCAGAATTAATCCTCTGGTAACAGAAGTCAGAATAGTGGGGGGCGGGAGGTTACTGACTGAGATGGGGGGA